AGTCACGTCGTGGATGATTGTCGGCTGGGACGATTACCATAGGCCAGTGGTCGCCAACATCTCAATGTGTTGAGCTACTTTGTTAATTTTGGAATAAACAGCGAGCTACCCACACGGAAGCCACGTAACGCAACGTAAATGAAATTATCCACAGTTAATTTATCATTATATGTATTTATTTTACTATTTAACTGGTAATACATAAATACATAGGTACTAATAATAAACTAATAACAAAATAGCTAATATTACTAGTACGTACTTGTCATAGCTACATTCCTACCTACCACAAACTTTTATCCAGCCACAACGGCATGTCACGTAAGATTTAAAAATAGTTAATAATAACAACAAAAAAGTAACGCACTATCATGAACATAAACATTGAAAAATAAAAAAGCACGTTCAATGAGAAGGCTGACACTCAGACTCATCGATAATTTTTTTAATGTTTGCAGTATAATTTGATACAGCCATTCGAATACAATTATCCAAATGTTCATCTGTAAGTCGATTGCGATATTTGTTCTTAATAAACTTCATATTGGAAAAAGAAGATTCACACAAATAATTACACATTACATTACGTAAATGATGCTTTCACTTTCAAGGCAACACGGCATAGAACTGAATATTTGTCTTTACTTACAATAGGCCAGATACATTTGGTACTTGAGACTAACGATTTTAAGGCTAAATCATTTTGAAACTCAATTACTTCCATTTCTGTTGCAGCGATGTCTTCGCCAAAGTTCTGCATAACACAAGTTGCAAACTGTTGGATAACAATTTCCATAAAGGGTGAAACAACAAACTGCGCTACTAAAGCCATTTCGTTGAAATCCTTAAAACGATTTTTGAAGTTATTCTTCAGAGTAGAAACTATTTCTACATGATATTTGCTGTCATAGGGTTCTAATGGATTTTGAGATATTTTTTCTGAAAGAATAGGAAAATGCTTGGCATCGCTGTTAATTAGGTTTTGTTCCCAAAACTCCAGCTTTTTGATAAATGCTTTTATATCAGAAATCATTTCCGCTAGTTCTTTGTCTCTCCCCTGAAGCTGCAAATTAAGTTCGTTTAATTTCTCTGTAATGTCCACGAGAAAACCAAAATCTCTAAGCCAGATTGAATTTTTTAGTTTCGGAGTCGGTTCATCGCGTTGTTTGAAAAATTGAACTATATGCCAGATAGGACATCATAAAAACATTTCAGCACCCATCCTCTACTTAACCATCGGACTGTAATGCCGGCCTTAGTTATTAAGTTTAAAATAGGCTTAAGTATAATTTTAATATTTGTAAATATAAATCATAATATTGTATCTAATTATTGTTAACGAAGAACTATGCAATTAAGTAGGTTACCTGTATTTTGACACCTAAGCAATATGAGGTAATTTGTTTAATTAGATGGTTTTTCCAATATAGACTGCAAGGTTCAATGAAAGAACGAAGGCAGTAATTCTTTGTAATGTAACCCATATTCAAGTTAAAAATAAATGATGATATATATATTCGATTCGACTTTGGTTTCATTAAATAAATAGAAGATAGTCTCCTGTCCTAACATTACATCAGAGTGAAGGAGTAGGTCCCCGTATTGACAGTCAACTTCATCGGCCAAGGTTTTGAATAATCTTCTTTGTAACGCTTGAGCTCTAATCTTGTTCACAATTTTTACCACCAGTTTCATAACGTTGTTTAGTTTAAGGAAATATCCACATAATGCTTGCTGATGGATAATGCAGTAGTAACAGAGAAATTGCGGAAAAGTTTCATCTTTACGACATAACGCCACCAGACCCTTATCACAACCCACCATAGCTCTCGCGCCATCGGTTGTCAAGCCTACCATTTTTCGATATTGGAATTTTCTCGGAAGAAATAATATTTTTTAAATGAGAAAACAACTCCTGTCCTGTAGTGTGTCCTTTCAGTGGAATAAACTTCAAAAGATCTTCTTTAAGACATATCGGGATTTATAATATGTATCGGCATCACTGCAATATATTCGTCGTGTCCACAAAATGCGTTCATCTGCGAGTCAGTAGCAGAAGCTTCCGTCCAAATTAGGGAAAATAGTTTTGATAACGTTTTTAGTTTATCGCTGTTATGACGGGATCGAATATAAGATATGTAACGGTTCCCGATCGCCGAGGAGGTCGTATTAAACTGCCGCCTTAAATCTGTAGGCTTGCTCACGAGCTAGAAGGTGCCTATTATTTTAGGAGGATGCACAATGGGCCCAATGAGGCCTAAGTGCCGTAGGGGTAACCCACCCTCCATACGTCACAGATACAGAACATATTTGACATCCATTATTTGTTATATTATAAATATCGAAAATGCAGAACTCTAGGTATCTCATCGTCAAGAATTTCAATGATTAAAACATATAGAACTTTTCAAAAGGCCACATAAAAAGGATGTAATTAAAGTTTTTTAAAACATTATGTTTAACAATGTAGAAGCTAACATACTGTACAAAACTATGTGTAGATCAAAACGCTACAGCTACAGAAACAGTATCAACATTGTCTTTTTACAATTAAATATTATATACAAAGGTGTACCTAAAAAACCACCAAAATATCAACGATTGTGATCAATACGCACCCAAAGTTTTTTCTATGATCACATTATTTTAAGAAATAGGTATAAAAACTTGAAAATCCGCTGTAAGTAGTGTATAATGTGTTGCCTATATCTACATTAATCATGAACAAGTATTAGAAATTAGTAATCTTAATCATCTTAACCAAATTTATATGGGACCACCCCTGAGGTACCCCCTTACTAACAAAAAAGAATCATATAAATCGGACAAGGTGGTAAAGCATTATCGCTAAACATACATAAAAAATGAAGATTTTGAGGATTTTCTCATTGACCCAATTATTAGATTTTGACTAAATTTATATGGGAACCACCCCTGAAGTACCCCCTTTCTAACAAAAAACGAATTATTGAAATCGGACACCGTGTTAAAGATTAATCGCTGAACATACATAAAAAAAATATATTGCGACGAATTGATAATAAAACCAAAAAACAATAAACTACGTACAAATAACTTGAAAATCATTTAATAATAAAGAAATACTATTATGTTGAAACTAATTTAAATTAGGCGAGCAGCAAAACCTTTTACACTAATAAATTTAGGTTTTAAAGCTTACTTAATAAAATCCAAAATTATTAAATAAAACTCAAAACTTCTGAACGCCATACAAGAGTTCATTTACTTGTATGATCTTTGCCTATCACTAGGATGGCAGTATCATCTGCAAATGTAACAATTGTGTCTTGATCTAGTTGGGGTATGCCATAAGTGTCTAACAGATACAAAGTGGGTCCCAGGATTCTTCCTTGTGGTACTTCTGCTTTAATTTCTTTCAACTTAGAGTATGCTTCATCTTGTTTTACCCTAGAGAATCTATCTGAAATGTATTAATCCAGTATCTCTGAGTATGGCTGTAGAAATAGCACATTCAGTATATGTTTTAAACCATCAAAATCCTGCGCAATATCGAAGAAGACGGATTTGTTTTCTAATGCTTCTTCAATCGTATTTAAGATTCTATGAACCTGATCTCTAGTTGAATGGTTTTCTCTAAAACCAAACTGATAATCTGGAATTAGTTTCCTTTCTTCAATGATGGGTTTCAGACTTTTCATTAATATTTTTCAAATAGTTTTGATATTATGGGCAATAGAGATATTGGCCTATATGACGAAAATTCGTTTGGAGGTCTGTCTTCAGCTACTTTTCACAACCTAGGGACTTACCTTAGTTTGAATGAGACATTAAACAGGTGTGTAAGTTTAATTATGGCTTCCTTCGGAAGTTGTTTTAAAATTTCTCCTGTAATTAAATCAAAGTTTTATTAGGATTAATATTTGTTTTTATATCTTTTAGAATTTCCTTTGTAGAGGTTGATCTGATGATTGAGTCATCTTCCTTTAGAAGATCCCAGTTCGGTAATTTTTCTCCTTCATTTGGTTAGAAGGTATTTTGTAAGTGCTATACAAATCTATTTACTTTTGGAGCTTTCTGCACAGTGGGCTTTCAATCGCTTTGTGGCTTTCCATAGAAAATAATCAGTGGCTTTATCGTTTGTCAACTGACTAAGGTACTCAAAAATGGTTCGTTTTATCTCCATTTTAACTGCTGGTTGGCGTTGTTAAGTTTGGTTTTATCTGATGGAGCTCTGGTCTGATGCCATTTCCTCCTTAATTTCTTTTTGTAGAGATTGGGTCTCTTATTTCTTTAGGATAGTTATTTTCTGTTGTTCACTAAACAATAAATGGGGTATTATCGCAAGCTGCTTGCTGTATATTGGACACAAGTATTTTTACTTCTTCAGCTAGCTGTGCTTTTGTTCTTAACGGAACTAAAAGATAGATCTTTTTCAAGGTCCAGTCTGAAGCTTTGTCAGTCTGTTTTCCTATTAGTCAAGGAGTGCTTTCCTTTTGGATAATGGCATCACTAAGAATGGGCGAATGATTTGAATTCTTGTCTCATGTCTAATCAGCTTAGATGTAGTTTGCTGAAATATTTCGTACAACAAAATAGTCTATTAAGTCGGGTATTTTATTTCTATCTTTGGGCAAATAAGTTGATTTGCCAGTTGAATGCGACTCACATTTGTGTTATTGCTTCTTTTAGGTTTTTACCCTTGGTTGTTGGTAGTTTGGAGCCCTAATAGGTATGTTTTGTATGTAGAAATGACCATAACATCATAAATTTGTTTTTTTGCTGTGCTATTATTTTTAATTATTTGCATTTCCTTGGCCACTTCACATCCTCTGTAGCTAGCAGGATGTAATTGTCTAGTTTGGGATTTGTCTCATCATACTAGGGAGTTTATAAAGTCTTGGACGTTATCCACACTATGCTAGGTGGTGTTGCCTTGATTATTACAGATTTTTCTATTGTAGTGCTGTTATTTTGTTGTGGTGGCTGTGGTTGTGGAAGTGTTAAAAATACAAATAGAATATGTTTAAATAATTTATATTTTTATTATATATAATATAAAAACAACTTTATAATACTTTTATTTCGTTTTGAGGAAATTATTGCGATACATTTGTAAATGTACATACAAAATACTTTTTTTTTAGTTAGGTACATAAAAATACTTGCATCAACGTTATATTTAGGTCACCATTTTTGTATAAATTCATTTCAAGTAGTACGTAAAATTCCAAAAAAGAAATGAACAATGTAACTATAAATATTCTCTTTCTCTTTTTAGTACAAGTGAGAGGAACCTATGCTAATAACATATTTTCCATATTATGTGACTTAAATAATTATTAAAGCTTTTTATAATTCACGTACAAAAAGACCCTTGAAATTCAACTACTGTTATTCGAGATACATTATCAAATAAATTATCCAGGAGAATCTCATTTTTTTTAAATAGAAAATCTTAAAAAATAAAAAAATAAATAAATATTTTAAACTAATACGATGGGAGTTTTATTTTCAGCAATTTTCCGTTTTTCCCAAGCATTTATCCAATTTAATGGATAACATATTACAGCTGAAAACAGAAGTACTCCTCCAGACATGTAGAAACAATAATTATAACTTCCCGTAGCGTTCATAAAAGCACCGGCCAGAGGGGCGCCGATGATGGCAGCTACACCTTGGAACAGTAAAAGAAGTCCAAAGGCGTTTGTTAGTTTTTCTAATCCAAGAAGATCTACTACCACTATCGATCTGATAGATGCGAAGCTTGCTGAAAAATAAATATTATATTAATTATATTATAACAACTTTTTCATTCTTATATCAGTGCAATACATTCCTTTTTTCATATGTATTATTAACGTGTGGTCCATAAATGTTTCTAAAATAGGCCATATGGCTGCAGGGCCGACTAGAGGAAGGCAGCTGGGACCTATTCCCGGGGGCGTATTGGCATTGTTTACTATGCTGCAACGCATACATATTGTTGCAACGCAGTAAAAAATGACTGAATAGTCGCCTCTCTATACCCAGACAAATTTTACTGTGACTCAGCACTGGCAGATGTTCAGACGTAGTAACTATTGTATTATGGATACGCTGCTATTCTCGAGGCATTGTTTACCGCGTTACAGGCCAAACCACGCAAATTTGCTTTCTTTTGTGATTTTGTAGGACTGTATCATAATAATATACTATCACAGCTTATACAATACAGCTCCACAACTCCGTGTCGGCGTCTTTGATCTGGCGGTCGAGAACCAAGCAAGACGGAATGGTGCTTATCTCTGTTAGATTCGAGGGAAAAGTCGGGCCCGGATTAAACAATTTTTTTATTATTGAAAAAATTGAAAACCTTGGTGTAATAAGGTTGGTTACATGCCATATTAAGTAAGTTTTGGGAAATTAAATTTTTAATTTGTTTTAAATCTGTCAAATATAATTAAAAAAATTATTTAAATATAAATATTACGAAAAATAGCACATCTTTTAGAGGTAAAATAATTTGTATGTGGCTAGTAAAATCCTCGTTAACAAATGTTTTGAGCTAAAACAGTCACTTCACGACAAATTGTGGCTTGGATCCTTTTTACACCAAGGGCTTCAATTGTTAAAGAATTTTGTCACGCTCGTGGATGCAAATCAAGTGGTAACCCGTGTGTCTGGCAAGTGTTACTCTTCGCGCAAAGGGTTTATACCTAGATAAACGAATGCTTCGACTAAGGTCTGGAAACTCTATGGTATTTTGGAATTATAAAGAATTTGTGCTTTTATTTTAACAATATTGGTTATATTTAGATGTATTCTTATTAATTGAAATACAGATTTGTAGAAGTAATACTTTGACAGTTTTTATTAATATACTCGTAATATATTCAATTTTTATCTGACCATACCGAAGTAAGGAATTTTGAAACTTTATAGTAATGTGAAATTTGAATTACAATATTACACGAAATTACATAAGTAGTACTTATTTTAGGTAGGTACTAAATTTGTACTTGGAGAAAGTAATATCGATTTTTACAAGAAAACTTGAAAAGTAAATTAATTTAGTTCCTATTTCTGATGTAAAACTTAAACCAAGAAAACAAATGAATAGTAGTTAGTTCAACAAGGGTGGATATGATAGCCATATCACACAAAGACGAAGTTTGAGCACGACGTCGTAGGCGGAGTACTCAATCGTCTGATTGTGATATGAACAATCCACTCGATATGGTCAGTATATTTTTTCTACGACCCACTAACGAAAATCTACAAATTTAAAAAAATATTTTAGGTTATTTAGACAAAATAACTAATTTTAAAATAATTTACGAAGTTAACTAATTTATATAATAAAATAAACATGAAAAATTAATTAGTCATCGGCCTAGATTCGATCCCGGGCTTTTCGCGTGGAAGGCAGATGCTCTGTCCTCATCTTCACCGAAACTTTCAGGACTTTAATTTTAATACTCGTAATTAAATTAGTATCATGTAGTTTGATTAAAATTTTTTTTTTTAAAATGTGGACACAATAAAAACAAAAATGCTATTATTTATCGAGTCTACACAAAAATTTTAATGTATATTTAATATCAATAACTAAAATATATATTGACAATTAGTTTAACAGAATTGTCACTTATTTAAAAATTTTTAAATAATAGGAGTTGGGTGACCAAAATATGAACGTGATATGTAGATTTAATTTTGTTAAAGTGTTTTCACTACCTAAAATGGATATGAAATATATTTGTAGTTGAACGCAATAGCATACTTTTTGGTTTTGTAGCATGTGCATAGATTGGCTAATATCCATGCACAGATTACAAAACGAAGAAGTATGCTATTGCCTTCAATTGAACGAATATATTTCATATCCATTCTAGGTAATAATGAACAATAACGCACTAATGGGACACCCTGTATAAATTATATTTTTAACAATGAAAATTTCTTATAATGTGTTACTTATCGGTTTGGGTCCTTGGGAAAACTAAAGAATGTTTTCTTGCAGGTATAACCCTTATTAAAACAGCTTTTGACTGCACAAACAGAATGATGTCTTTTTTTTCACTCATTCTACTCACAGCTAAAGAGTCACCAAAATAATAACAGTACCTTTAACTCAAACAAAATCAACGAAATTATAGGCTCCACGAAATTATACAATCAACGAAATTATACGCACGACTCAACACCTTACCTAAGTACACTTCTGAACGCCAAAACCATCTTTTCCCTCCGAAGGCGGAGCTTAAGCGATGCGCGACGAAATCGACGCAAACCGTTGCCGCCAAGAGAGTGTTTTAGCTGTATTGTTAAGCTGTGATACTATCGTCAAAAATAGTTTATTAAACCTCACTAAAATATAAAGGGCACAATAAATACAAAATCCACTGGTCATATTACATTTATATTTATTTAAAAAAAAACTGTTATAAAATGGTAACGTATGTCCCTAAAGTTTTCGGAAAAAAATCTATTTTTATTTATTTATCGCAGACAGCCTAGGATCAAGTTGCCATTGGAGACAAAGTTAGTAAACAACTCAAAGTATGTTGCTAAATGTCAGTTTTGACTAATTGTTTGTCAAGATGTCATATAAGCTTAATATTCATCATTTAGTTGGACAAGTACCTAAGCGCGATATTGTTAGAATTTTCAGCGCCCAAAATATTTCTACTTCCACAATTTACCAGACTATTAAAGACTGTGAAAATGGCATACCATGCATTAATTTGCCAAAAGTCGTGCACGAGAACGGAGATTGCTTGAAAGTGTAGAAAACAACTTAGGAAAGTCATTGCGCAAAGTTGGCCGAAGATACAATGTTTGCCGGATGACTGTGAGTAGAACACTCTCTAGAAATAATTTAAAATATTATAAAAGAAGAAAGGCTCCTAAATACACAGTAGCTCAGTTGGAAAAAATTCCCAATGTTGCCGTGCTTTGAGACCAGTGTTGCCAGTCTAGTACAATTGTACTAAATCTAGTACATTCTCTGAGAATCTGGTACTCTAGTACACTTGAAGCAAAATCTAGTACCTTTTTCAGCGTATGTTCCATTTGAAGTGTAAAATATATTGTTCAAAAATTGCCAGAGAAACTAAAATAGTTGTTAAAAATTGCTTCGCTTCAGAAATATAATAGTAGACATTTCTAGAGAGATAAAACATTGTTCAACAATTGCACGAGAGATCAAATATTGTTCAAAAAAAGCTTGGGAGGTAAAAAGGGTGATAAAAATTGGCCGATGTATAAAATAGTATTAGAAATTGCTTGAGGGGTAAAATGTTGTTCAAAAATTGCTCTAAGGATAAAAATACTGTCAGAAATATAAAGAGTAATAAAAAATATTTATAAATTGTTCGAGAGAATAAAAAGTATTATAAATTGTTAAAATCGTGTTCAAAAATTGCTCCAGGGATAAATTACTGTTGAAAAATTTGTTGAGAAATAAAAGATTGTTCAAAATTGACTCGAGAGATACTGTTAGATATTTCTCGAGAGATAAAACATTGTTAAAAAAATCCTCGACCGATAAATTACTATTAGAAATTGCTCGAGAGATATAATACTAGTTGAAATTGCTCAAGAGATAAAATATGGTACAAACATTGCTCGAGAGATAAAAAAAGGTTATTATAAATTGCTCGAGACGTAAAACATTGTTAAAAATTTATCGAGAGTTAAAATATTGTTATAAATTTGTCGAGAGTTAACATATTGTGCAGTTTGCTAAAGAGATAAAAAAGTTGCTCAAGAGACAGAATAATGTTAGAAATTTATTGAAAGATAAAATATTGTTTAAAAATAGCTCAAGAGATAAAGAAAGGTTTAAAAATTGTTCGAGAGATAAAATAGTATTATAAATTGTTAAAATTTTGTTCATAAATTACTCGAGTATTAAAAAATACTTTTAAACATTTCTCTAGAGACAAAATATTGTTTAAAAATTGCTAGAAAGGTAAAAAATGTTAATAAAAATTGCTCGAGAGATAAAATGGTGTTAGAAATTGTTCAAATTTTGTTCAAAAATTGCACGAGAGATCAAATATTGTTCAAAAATAGCTTGAGATGTAAAAAAGGCTGTTAAATATTGTTCAAAATTGTACAAAAAATATTGTACAACCATTTCTCGAGGGATAAAAAAAAATTGTTAAAAATTAAAAATTGCTGTTAGAAATTTATCAAGAGATAAAATATTGTTTAAAAATAGCTTAAGAGATAAAAAAAAAGGTTTAAAAGCTGTTCGAGAGAAAAATCTGGTAATTGTATAGAATCTAGTACATTTTTATGCAATCTGGTACATTTTTTAGACAAATCTGGTACATTACAAAAATATATTCTGGCAACACTGTTTGAGACGTATTCATTTTCCCGGTAAAATTATCATTATGGACGATGAATAATATTTTACTTTATCAAATTCCGAAATGAGAGGTAACGATGGATTTTATACACGTAATGCGGAAGAAGCTCCTGATCATGTTAGATTTAAAGGCAAGGTTAAATTTGCCGACAAAATTTTAGTGTGGTGTGCCATTTCGGAAACTGGTGTTTCACAGCCACATGTTGGACGTGTTCGCGGTGAAGGGTGAAGCTATCAATGCGGAGATTTACTATGAGAGATGTCTTTCAAAACTTGGTAACTTTATACATACTCATCATCCCAATGATGAAGTGAGTGATATTTTGGCCCGATCTAGCATCGTGCCATTACGCCAGGAGAACGACAGACTGGTTAACTGTTCAAAATATAAATTTTGTTCCTAAGCG